AGACCTCTTTGCCAGATGCGTCCTTGAACCTGACTTCCCCTCCAGGTCACCATTACCCTGTGGCCCTCTCCTGCACTTGCAGCTCGCTTCTTCACACCCGATGAACGTCACATTCCAGAAGGGGCTCGTGCACTTGCCATCCCACCCACGTGCAAACTCCTTCCCCTCTGTCCTGCTGTTCGCAGCTCTGCCACTTTCCACCCTCCCCATCCCTGTCACGGGGCCCTCCTCTCTCCTCCAGGTATTTGCCATCCCTTTGTTTCCCACACCTTGACCTTCTTGCTTCCTTTCAGTGCTCCACCCTGGCTGCAGCTGGACCTGTCATGCAGCCCCTCTGAAATCTCAGCTCCACCCCGCCACTCCCTCCGCTCCCACTCCCCACACTGTCCTTGAGCTCTGCTTGCCCCATCGCCCCCTGCTCCCTTCACCTCTCCTCCAGCCCCAGCCCCTTGGCTAACGCCTTGGCCTTTCTTCTGACCACACCCTCGGCTCCTTGGCCTGTTGTCCTCTCTGTTCCCCAAACCCAGCCCCTCTCCTCAGCCTGTCTTGCCCCCCTTTTCTCCACTTCTGCAGGAACAAGTCACACAGCCCTGCTCCGTGTGTTCCTATGGATGAGAGACCTCCTGGTCTCTAAGGCTATCCCTCCCAGCATGGCCTGGGTCCCGTGGCCCTGCCTTTTCTGGGGCCTCGTGCTCAGAATGGAGGGAAATTCCCCACTTCCCCTCCGTATCCTCAGTTAACTATTCAATACCCCTCATGTGTCTATCTATCCCTATCTATCTATCTATGTATCTCCCTCCGCCTCCTTTGTTCTTCTCTAACATTTAAATATGGTCAAGGTTCTCCCATCTTAAAACTATTTTAACCACCACCCCCCAAGCCATACGCCTCAGGAGATGCAGCCCGATTTCTCTCTCCCCGCTCACTGCCAAGAAATTCTTGTTTTGAAAGTCATCTGCTCGTCCTGCATCGTCCTCCCCTTCTGCCATTGGGTGTTGGCCCTGTCGTTCCACTCAATCTACTCCTGCCAGTATCAACGGTGACCTCCTTTCGCTAACCTGCTTTTCCATCCTCTCAAGACTTCCCTGCAGCGTTGGAGGCTGTTGGTCTCCTTCCTGAACCTCATTCTTCCCTGAGCTTCTGTGACCCCACTCTCCTCGGGATTTAGTCTAGCCTTCTGCGAGGCCCTACGATGTCTCCAACAGTCTTGTCCTGGACTGACACCTCTTCTCCTCTTCTTGGGTGGTCTCCTCCTTCTCATGGCTTTTTTTGCCATCTGTGAGCTAACTTTCTAGATCAGACTTCTCTCCTGAACTTCAGACCCATGTAGCCACTTTCTACTGGGTAATTCTACTCCAAGATCCCATCAGCACCTCCAAACAGAGCACGCCCTACCGATGACCCTCGGTTCAGACCTGTGCCTCCTCCTGCACTCTCGGCTCAGTGAAAGCTCACCCAGTGCCCAGGCCAAGCCCCGCAGGCGTTATAGACCCGTGCCCCTCCTTTGCCCCATAGCCTCACTCCCGGTATGGCCCGTGGCTTCTTCTGCTCTAGACCTCCCATCCCCTCTGCATGTGCCCAGTCCAGAACACCATTAAGCATCTCCCAGGTTATCTTGAGCCTCCCACTAGAATGGAGGCTCCATGGAGGGAGGGCTGGTGTCTGTCTTGGTCTCCATCATGCCCCCATGCCCAGCACAGTGACTCACACTAAGTAGATACTCAAATGTTTGTTGAGTGGATGAATGATCTCCCTGCCTCCAGCTTGCTGCACCCAGACCATTCTCCAGACAGAGAGATCTTTCTCAAATATAAAATCTTAAATGCTGAATAGAATGAAGCCCTGTACTGACTCCCCTTCACCTACTACCTCAAGTCCAGTCTCCCAAGCAGACTGCAAGGCCCTTTTGTGGGTGGGCCCTGCCCACTCGTGCCTTTTCCAGCCTCATCTCTTCTCACCTTGTAGAAAGTGCTTGTGCTTGTAGAAGGGCGGCATGGCACAGGGGTTGAGAGCCCTGGAGCCGCATAGCCCGAGTGTGGATCTCAGAGCCACTTCCTAGCTCTGAGGCCTTGCATGATGGCATGATATCTCTGTGCCTCAGTTTCTCACCTTCAAAATGGGGGTTACTGAGGGTGAGGGCGAAAGAGTCAGTCAATGTAAAGTGTTCACAGTGGCTGCTGGCACGTAATCAGTGCACAAGTCACTATAGTTATATAACTGAAAGTTAGTTGTGATAATAACTGTTAGATAGTTATTGTCACTGCCAGATTGCTGTCCTACAGTCTCACCTCCTGAACTTGGCACAGGTTCTCCCCTCCACCTGGAGGGCCCTTCCCCTCCCTTCTCACCTGCTATTCCTTTCACCTTGCTGGCTCCTCTGCCACCTTCAGGCCCCAGCTTGGACATCACCTTCTTCAAGAAGTCTTCCCTGACCCAGGGCTGGGACTAGGGTGAGGTGAGCAAGACACTCGCAGGGCCAAAATTTAAGGGTGGGGGGTGCAAAAAATTCAGTAATTAAGATAAATATTTTAATGCAATTTTTAAAAAATCAATATTAATGCAAAATACCCATGATAAAAACAAATCAATGTTTTAATTAAAGACAGGCTCCGACAGGGCTGGGACTGGGATGAGGCAACTGACTTTAAGTTGTCCTCCAAGTGGAGGGTCGGATCCAGGCTTACTTTAAATGTTGCTATTTTTCTTTATTGTGGATTGGATTTATGGAATGAATTGTGATTTTCTTAAAAAATTGCACTAAGATACAATTTGTCTTGATTACTGAGTTTTTGGTGCCCCCTGAAATTTCGTACGTGAGGCCAGTGCCTCACTTCCTGGACCCTATTCCCGGCCCCATCGTCCAAGATTGAGTTTGGTGCTTCTCCTGTGTGTGTCCGTAGCATGAATCATATGTGTCATAAATACCTGTTCCTTGTCTGTTCACTCCTTGAGAGCAGAGACCGTGTCCAGGTCTCAAGTGTCTAGTACCAGGACCGGCACACAGTAGATGCTTACTATATGCTCACGATTGCACTGATGGCAAGAGAAATTGGGTGGGTGTGGGCATGTGCACAGGGCAGTGCCTACACAGCAGGAGGGCTGGGAAGGAGCTTTCTTTCTGCCCTAAGGATGCTTGGTCTCTTGAGCACAGGCAGATGCACCACATATGTATATCTTCTACAGCATGGTGGGGTCTTGCTAGGAAATCTGAAATCTAGGTCCTGTTCCTGGCAGCAGAATCCGGCTCTGTCTTCAAATGCTGGATAACTTTCTCCAGGTCTCAGAATGACTGCAGTGACAGCTCTCACATCCCAGGGTCTTGCATCCCAGGGAGCATGTCTGGGGACATCTGGAAGGAGGGTCCTGCTGCTTGCCTTCCTAGGTCAACTTGTCAAAGGGGCCCCTTCTTCCTTTCCTTCAGATGCCCTGGAGCTCTGGGACCTGGAGCACAGGGGCCACCTTCCCTGGAAGGCCCCAGAGTAGCCTCCCCCACCCCGAGCAGGAGCAAAGCCAGCTTCAAAGGGGGTTCAGATGTGTTTCCAGCAGGTGTGTGCAGAGGGCGAGGCCAAGGGGATGTGGGGGGTGGGCTGGCTTGCACTTGGGATTCCTCAGACCTAGCACGTGGTCACACAGACCCACCCCACTGGAGGACCCTTGATGTCTGACACACACACACACGCACACACACAATCCCAGTACAGAATGCCTTGTCTCCACTGAGAGCTGGCACCCTAGTTTTGGGGTTAACATGAATGCAATAGTCAAGAGCCCATCCATATATGACAGTGCCTGGGGCTGGCACAAGCCACCCTGATAAGCCTGCAGACGCCCCGCAGTTGTGGTAAGAAAGCTTTTGCAGAATCACCCATGACAGGGTCACACACACCAACTTTGGGGACCATGGCTCCAGACAGCTCTTAATGGTGTCTACATAAAAGGCAGGGCTCCTTTGTCCTGAGAACCCTGGGAAAGTGTCCAAAAACCTCCCCTGATGACTGCAGGCCCTTCTCTCCCAAGTCACAGGGCTGTCACTGTCCTCACCTCACAGTCTTGCACTTCCTTCATGACTTCCTGTCATTCCTGCAAGATGCCTTCCTCCCTGGGAACAGATCACCTCTCCTTCCCCTCCTCCTCTTCCTCTTCCCCCCACGTCCACCACCTCCTTCATCTCTCACACACTAAGCACAGCATGGGTGGAAGTGGGGGTGACTCTGGAGGAAACTCCAGGGACTTGGCCAGGACAGACTCCTTTCCAGAAGCATCGGGGGCCCGGCTGACTCCTGTGAGACAGCCAGCCTGTCCTGCCCACTGAGTCTAGGCCCCTGGAGCCGACTCAGAGAACCCACTCCACGTCTGACTCACCGCTGTTGACTCAAGTGAACTTTAGACGCATACTTCATGAGTCATTTGTTTCATTTTACCTGTTAACATCTTAAATCGAATTAAAAAAATCTTCATGAAAGTGCTTCTGCATCAGAAGGTAGTGAATGTTTATTCTCATTAAATCTCCAGTTTGGGACAAAGGCAGGCAGAGAGAACCGGCTGCCTTGTTGTCTTGTGCTCGCCTTTGCTGCCCAGGAATGAAGCGTACTTACCATCTCTCAGTAATCCAGATCAGTAACCCCGATGCAGGGTCAAGTTCAGTAAGGAAATCTCCAAACTTTGGGACTTGTTAGCCCCTGGGACAAGGAACCCACAAAGTATGCAGAACCACCTTCCCGGAATGAAAATACCCGAGCAGCCAGAGCACTTTATGTGGATGCAAAGTCCCAGGCGTTTGATAACTGCCAGGCCCGTTCGTCGCAGGGTGCTGTGTTGAAACAGGACATTGCAGGATTTCTCGTGAATCTCGTGACTTCTAAGAACATTAGTCCTACCTGTGTCACTCTGAGCACTGCCTCCTGGAAGAAAGGCAGCAGAGTGTGTCATGTGGACCTCCAGCTCCAAGAGAGGTATAAAGTCACCTTTTGTCTCTGTTTTCTCATCTTCCTGTCTTTCAGAGATCGAGCAGGGCAGTTGCGGTGACCCTGGCATACCTGCCTATGGCCGGAGGGAAGGCTCCCGGTTTCGCCACGGTGACACGCTCAAGTTTGAGTGCCAGCCTGCCTTTGAGCTGGTGGGGCAGAAGGCAATCACGTGCCAAAAGAATAACCAGTGGTCGGCTAAGAAGCCAGGCTGCGTGTGTAAGTGAGCAGGGACGAGGCTACGCCAGCGTCCTCGCTGACAGGCGGGGCCCATTTCCTGGCTAGTCTAGGGGCCCCATCTCCGGGAACCTTGCAGGTTGTGACAACTGCTTCCCTCTGCTTGGTTTCTTCTATTTCTTGGGATGTTGCTAGTTGGGTCCTCATTTCCAGCAATAACATAGACCATGGCACTGAGAATAATTGCTGTTGACATTCGGGGACCTTCCTCAACGCCGTCTTACCCTCCCTGGTGGTCCTTATAAGCAAGATAGATACCACTGTGGCTTGGCCCAACAGACACAGACCCAGACACTTCCCGCTACCCTCATGGCAGCCACTGACACCGTACAATCAATCAGGGTGGGAGGGATGGCATGTTTGTGAGATTATAGACTCTGTACCAGCCTCTGGGACCCCTGGGAAACCATGGCCTTGCCAGATATAAAGTTTCCTAAAATCGCTTCCTCTTGTATTGGATTTAGGGAAGGGCGGAGGATCAAGCTATCTTTGGATTCTTGATCTTTTGGGGAAGGGGGTGGAGGTGAGTGATCTGTTCTGTGGAGATAACAAGGAAGCCCTTCTTCCTTCCTCTTGGACGGTCTGACCATACTCTGCGACACAAAGGATACCTTAAGTCTTCAGTCACAGTGGGATTGGCAAGTGTGAGGGGCTGCATGTAGTCAAGGGAGGCTCAGGCATGGTCTCTGTTGGAAAATCAAAGGTTCCAGCTTCTCTGGCACATCACCTCTTCTCCTTCGAACCCTGCCACCCCACCTCCTCCATCTCTTTCCATTGGCTTCTCTCAAGGAAAGGCAGATAGCCTGAACCTCTGGTCCTTCACCCACCTCAGTGGGCTTCTCGGGGCCTCTGAGTTCTGCACACTAGAGAATCATGGCCCCTGGGGGCTGGGGAAGGACTAGCCTGGTAGACCATCAGGGTCTCTGTGATGACTGAGAGTTCGTGAGTTGGTTCATACCACAGTGATTATATCTTTCAAACGATAAAAAAAAAAACCTCTTTGTCTAACAAAGCATTTTTGATGACTTTTGAGTTTATTTATATAAAAATTCTTCAGAGGTTTAAAGATCAAATCACTCTTAGGTACACATTGAACAAATCACCCTTATTGAAAAAAGAATTAAATTGCATGACATCTGCCCATCTCTGCTCCCCAGTGTGGTTAGGATATAGAGCCCAACAGCATTAGCCTCTTAGCACAGTGGGACCGTGGGCCAGGAAGAGCTCAGGGCAAGCCGGCACAGAGGCTCTGACCACTGCAGAGACCAAGGCCAGGCGGAAGTGCACGGGCAGGGCCCTGCAGAGGCAGGCTGGAGGCAGGGCCTGAGAAGATAAAGGCACAGGCTGTGGGAACCCCAGGTACCGTGGGGGCTTAATCTCTGAGATCCGTCTATATAAAACAAGGCAGGGAGAAATGGAAGAGGATGGAGCTCTGGGGAAAACAGCTGGTAGGAATGAAGTAGGAAGCAGAGCCGGCCAGCTTCTTGGGACCAGGATAAGGTTTCCTGCCACATAAGCTGAGTGATGCAGGTGACAGAATGCTACCTGAGGGGCTATCACTTGAGTCCTCCAAAAATGGATTGGACCCTTTGGCTCTTAGGAGTGGTTTTAGACCATCTTTCTGAAACCTTCCCTAAGGGCAGGAGACCTTGAAGTGCCGCTCAGTGGGCCCTCCCTTCCCGCTGGCAGCCTCCAGCAAGCTGGGTACTGCTTGCAAACAGCTGAGAAGAAAAGAGGACAGAGCTGTCCCCACAAGGGTGGATCAGTGCTCCCTGTGGTTCAAAACAAGGACAAGGAGCCTGAGGTTTACCCATGAGAACTGAGAAGCAGGCACTCTAGGGGCCAACATGGCATTTCTTCTGGACGATTCTGGGATACAAGAAGATGACATACCCAGGCACTTCCATCACTCAAGTTTGTCTGGACATTCAAGTGTGACAGAACAAAGCTGGAGTCTCAGGGACGCTGGCTTCAGTGGAGGAGGCCACGGGAAGCCAACTAGCCATGCTTTTGTACCACTTAGCAAGGTCACATTTGCATTTCACGCAGGCAGGGAACTGCCACCTGTACACTCTCTACTGAGCACCCGGGCCCCTAAGCTGGTGCTTTTATAGGTCCTGAGCTTTGCCCTCAAGGAGCCCACTGTCTAATTGGGAGTGAAAGGATGGAGATAAGAAAGCCCTGGTGCACCGAGATCTGGATTCAAAATCTAGAGACCTTAGTCCTAGCTCAGCCTACAACTGAGGCCAAGGCATCTCTCTGCCTCTCTGGATTTTTTTTTAAGAGATAAAGTCTCACTCCGTCACCCAGGATGGTGCAGTGGTAGCATCATAGCTCACTGTAACCTCGAACTCTTGGACTCAAGTGATCCTCTTGCCTCAGCCTCCCGAGTAGCTGAGACTACAAGCCCACACTACCATGCCTGGCTTATTCTTATTTTGTTTTTTAAGAGGCAGAGTCTTGCTATGTTGCCCAGGCTGGTCTCGACCTCCTGATCTGGATTTTCATTTACTGATCTATCCAATAGGGTAGCACTCCATTCTGGCTCCAAAAATTCTAAGCCTCCTTGATCATATTTATCAAAAGAGGTCGCTATGGCATGACCAGTCCTCCCATCTTCCACAATGAATGCTTGGAAACTTCTTCTAAAAGTGGATCATTACAGTGCAGGTCATATTTGATTGAGGGACAATGTTAAACTTTGGCATTCTACTCTTGACTTTAGATCAACTATATCATGGTGTGTGACCAATGGAAAAGGGACAACATCTATAAATGCCTACAAAAATATAAAATATTAAGGTCTACCTCTCTGTTTTTAAAGTGTTCATAAATATATATACAAAAGCTCCTCTAGCAAAAGTCAGCATAAGTGTCCTAAATTTCCCAACACATTAGTCACAATAAATATTAATGCAATACTTAGCAAACAAACTGCTCTTTCCTTATTAGAAGTTAAAAGGAGATTGGGGAAATTATTTTGATGGCTCAAATTTCTTTGAACAATTGTCTGAAGAAATGCAAAGCCGTACATTGTTCTTCTCTTGAAACATTTTCTTCAAAACAATTCCTTACTTAAGGAATTACCCTGCCAAGGCTACACAAGTACACTCTTCCTTCATGTTCCAAAACATTCTCTGTAGCAAGCAGAGACTTCGGAATCATTTCATTGGCTTATGAGTGCCCTCGCAGTAGTGGATGCTCAATACGTAGTCTTTTTTATTTAGGTTTTTAAGAAGATGATACATCTCACAGTGAAAAGCATTTTGAAAGAAAAGATGGAGCCAGCTTCTTTCCTCTCACTCTCTGATCCTCCTTGGTTAATTCACATCTCCAGGGACCAATGCTCAGAATCAGTGGGAAGTAGTGCCACTTTCCATCCATTTGGCAGGAGTTACTGAATGTCTTCCCTGTGCCAAGCACCATGCATTGGATTCAGAGCTGTTCGGTCTCTGCCTAGGAAATGTGCTCACCCCAGCTGTCCTGGTGAAAGGACAGGCTTTGGCCTGTTGCACAAAGCTTTGGCCAGGTTGCACATACTCCTGACCTTCCAGAAGCTCTTCCCGTTCCTTACCCGCTTCCTTGCAAAAGCATGGTGAGCCTTTCCCATACAACCATGTCCAGTTATCCCTCCGCTACAAAGAGAAACAACGGGAAGGAAGATACAAATAACTCTGATGGTGATTTGCACAATACTTGATGCTTTGTTGACAGGCTAGCAGAATACTTCACACTTCATAAGGAAGCCAGAAAACCAATTATCAGTCCATTAGCAGCCACTTTCAGAAGAAGTTTCAAAACAGCCTTCACCAGAGATGTGCGCCAAGGCTGCAGGAATGCATGCCTTCCTTTACCATCTTGCAAACCACCATAGAAGGTGTGAATCCTAATTGCTCAGTTCTTAATGTGTGTGGCATATGCGTGGAATGTGAAGGCAGGGCCTACTGGGATGTATACAGTTGAAGTTACAAATCAGCAGTCTAATCTCCAGAGGTCATGGGAGGAAGGATTGGAGCCTTGGGTGCATAAAGAAAATGCCCAGAGGATACAGGGCTTGAGCTGTGCTTTAAAGTGCTGGGAGGCAAAGGAAGATGTTCTAGACAGGGATGCTATGGGAAATGGCCCTCTCCTGGTGTCTTCCTGTCCTTCCCCTGTGCATTCCTCCCCACCTCTCCCACCTTCTGCTCTGGCCACACGTGCATGGGCGCGCACACACACACACATTTCTAAAGGAAAAAGGAGTGACTTGGGTCACAGGGTCCTCAGGAAGCTGGTCTCTCCATGGGCCGTCACTCTAGGGTAGGGTTTCTCAACCTCAGCACTGTTACTATTTCAGCCCAGACAATTCTTTGTGTGGGGCAGTCTTGTGCTTCACAGAATATTTAACAGCATCCCTGTCCTCTACCCGCCGAATGCCAGTAGCACCCACCCCACACAACAGTCGTGACAACCAAAAATGTCTCTAGACGTTGCCAAATATTCTCTATGGGGAAAACCATCCTATATTAATAAGAACTACTGGACTAGGATAACTTGGTGTCGTCAAATTCCAAATAGGAAAGATCCTGTGGATTTGCATTTTAAGTGAGGCTACTATTAAAGTCTGTAGCATTATGGCAGTGAGAAAGCAAGGGGTAGAGGAGACACTGGTGTTCAGTAAATGTTTTATGTCATGAATCATGGAAGACATGAATTATCCGTGCAATTCTATGATGAATTTATTCTCTCAATTTATAGGTGAAAACAAAGTTCAAAGAAGTAAGGTAGCTCACACAAAGGCTTTAGAACTGTTAAATGATGGGCTAGTATTTGAACTATTAATTGACAGAGCAACAATTCGAACCCTGGGTCCTACGCCAAGTCCTGCATTCTCTGTGTTGTACCGGATTTCTGGAATCCCAGGGGTCCTTTGAAGAAGAAATGACAAATAAGCCCAGGACAAAACTGTTGGCTGAGTTACTCCCATGAAGTAACAGAAGTTG